CTTGTGTCGCTAAAGTTTCGTCGGAACGAAGTTACGGAAAGTTAATTAACAAACGGAGAAGTAACATCACCATATTTCATAGGGAATGGCGTGCACTTTGCACAAATAAATCTAATGCAAACACTTTATGTTAAAAAACAGCCAACTAGGTATAAAACGTATGATATCTACATAGACAACTGAGTTACATAAAATGCCTACCAGATTTATAAATATATAATATACAAAAACAGTCGGTCTTACATAAAATGTATAAATAGTAAAGATGCAATGTTAAAATGGCTACGTTAAACAAAAAAGAACTGAGACAAACTTCTTCCCTCACTTTTCATTTCAACAAGAACTAGTAGCAACACAAATAAAAAAGATGATCTAAGTTTAACCCAACTGTATTTTGTTTAAATAAACCATTAAAACATTACATCTTTAAGTATCTATGAACCTTTGTATAACTTGGCTCTTTCAAAGCACCTTTAATGGATTTCATGATCGTCTACTAATCCAGAGTTGTCCATCCCTAGGTTGTTTTAAAGATGCTTCTTATAATTCAGATGATTCTTTACGAAATACTGAAACAAATGTTAGTATGCCTAAAATTTGACTTTGGAATTTAGAATAAAGATCTATGACTTGAACTTGTACACTTACTGGCCAAAATATTAGAAACTCCAACATAATAACGTGTTTGGCTACCACATAGTTTGATGTCATGTGATATTGACTCCATTAGCATCTTGAAGGTATCTGCTTCAACGTTGACTGTTCCATAAATACAATAGTCTCCAATTTAGATAGAGTTGTTTTTCATGGGTTACGTATCCTGATAAATTGTTCCAAAGCAGGAATGAGATCTGGGAACTGTGCAGACCAGGGTACATGTTACAATTCTAAACATATTTAGTAAACTAATTATGAATGATTTTAGTTCTATGACTGGTGACATTATAATTCTGGAAGCAGCTACCTCCATTTGGGTAAAACTAGAACACTATGGGGTGTATCTTGTCCAATTTTATTGATTAAAGATATGACCATTCAGAGAATCTAACCAATTCATGCCATGTATCTGAATCCTACAACATTACATCATCTCCAGACCCTGTAGAGACTATAAAGAATTAGAACATGCACTTATTTGGTTGTTTCCACACACTAACCCTATCATAATTATATTACAATGTAAAGCGTAATTCTTCTGATTGTATTAGATATTGTTACTTGGCAATTGTCCAACTCCAATGGTCTTTAGACTACTGGAGATATTTCTTATGACTGTCAGCAGATGCAAGTGATTTATATAACGGGCGACTTCTATCAAAGTTAATTGTCTGATGAAAATGGATGTTTATGAACGTTATTATTGTTATCCGTCAATTCAAACAGTTTTTATTCCGATCAATCTTCAATATTTTTGATGACGAGGAACCCACTTTGAGACTAATAATGGCTGGAGACGGCTTGAATGGGTAATGAAGAAAAACTTTAATATAAGTTTAACATAACAGCAAAT